TTGTCACCTAAAGCCTTGCACTTACCAGTTGATCCAAGTCCAACTCCAACCACACCTTGACCCCACTGAGGGCCTCCAGATGAAACTACACCACCTGGCCCGACATTAACTCCGCCTTGGTTCACTCCCACTGTCGCTCCAGCCCCGGCGTTGCTGCCCGATCCTCCAGTCCACACACTACTGCTGTCGGCCCCATCATCGTCCTCTCCCCACGTTCCGCCTAAATTGGAGGATGGGGTGTGACCCCACGACGGCTTTGGAACTTGCTGAGCGGTCGGCTGCCCACCGTTTCTCAAATTGGACTCCCAAAGATCAGTGCCGTTGTTAATGCTCGGCTTCCACATTGGAGGTCCGGCCGCATCCTTATTGGTTGGTTCTGGCGAACTGGGGACTTCCCAATTGGTGTCCTGGTTGACATGCTGACAGCCCCAGCCATCTTGGGAAAAAAGCGCTTCGCGCATAGTGCTCAAGTGTTCTAACTGATCGTCAGCTTCAAAAGTTGCATTCCCAACTATTCCAGCATCAACTTGATTTTCAACGTCATTATCGTGGGCATTTATCGCAATTTTTATTGACTCTTTACTTTGTTAAAAAGGAATCACTTAGTTTTAATCCTTGTGTTTTCCAAGTTCTGTAAATATAAAATATAATCAACATTTATTATTTGGCGAACCCCGTAATGGTAGGATAGTGAAATTTCCTAAACAAATTAATTTTCCTAAAAAATTAACTCTTTTTTTTTTTGTACATATTTTAGGTCAGAATCGGTAAAGGTCGTTTTATCGACTTCTCCAACTTACATGGATAAGAGCCAATTAACATATTCGAAAAGTATAAACTTTGTAAATTTATAAGTCAAAAACTGGGAAGCACCTTTTTTAATTATTGCGGATATTGATCGTTTGGTATTGTTTAATGTCTTTTGGTTCCACCAAAAATTTGGCGAAGCCGCGAAATCTTAACCTGGTCAAATGGCCAACTTCTTGGTCGAATATGTCTTATCTGAGCCCGAAATAAATATCCGAAAACCCAAAGATATTACCACGAATTTTTTCGGATCTGAAGTGTTGAGCAACAGCATTGACCGAGAATAAAACCATCGCCCAAAGTAGGCAAACCAAATCTACTCGCAAATTCTTATTTTAATTCTTCTAAGCATCAATTGACTGACTTATTTGCATTTTTGAAGCATATAAAACCACTATTATAAACCAATATTTCTACACCAGTACAACAAAGCATTGCAAACAAAATGAGGGGTGATACTGAAATCTCTTTTTTTGAATTCCCGTTGCGATTGTTATGTTACGAATGTAAACAAACCAATTCCGCGATGTCCTATGCGTACCCCAGGAAATTACATAACATCCAACCATTTTGCACATTTACACAAACAATTATTCTTCATATTTTGCCCGAATTTTCACCATCGCTAGTTCTGTACCGAGGAAGGTTGTATTTAATAATCTGAGTTAGAAAACTATGTAAAATAAATCACGTCACAGAAATCGCTTTCAACCATAAAATGAAGGGAATTTAGTTGGAACATATTTTTGCGATAGCCCCAATTAGTTGGTAAATGTATTGATTTGAATTAAAATTCCATACATCAATTTGTATTGATGTAGGTAATAATTCCAACCGAAACCTCTTGTAACTGAATTTTGATTCAAAATTTACGAACATTAACATTTTTGGTTGAAAGATGTTTGTGACACCCGTTATATGATTGTAAAAAATGATAAAATATTACAATTAAAAACCCTAATTAATTTTTCCAGAAAGTGCAACATATAAAGAAGTTTCCCAAGAGTTGTAATTAACAGCAAATGTAAAAACATATTTACATATTAAAGTCAGATATAACAATCGCTTCACTACCAGGGCTGCTGCACAACAGGCGGTTTTCACCTTTAAATACATATTCCTTAAGATGTGTATTAAACTTTAGGTACATATACAAAGATTCATGTGGAAAAAGTTGTTCAAAACTAAAAAAAAATTGCAATATTAAATTTGCACAGTAGTGAGAATTTTCAAACCATTGAACCATACAAACGTACATACATATATGTACATACAGGCACATTGAGAACTTATTTGACAACTCTGGTCAGCCATCATTGACGCAATCACCCTATTTTAAGTCTACCTTTTCTAATTTCGCACTAGCTAGTAAGCACAAATAAACCTTGCATTTAAAATGTTTCTGCCTAATATAACAAATGAATATTACATACATATGTATGTACAACTCGAGTACATGTATGAATATTTAAATATTCAATTCGAGATACACATATGTACACATGTATATGTATTCATTTTCTGTACACTGCTATGTACAGAAGACATTTTCTATTAACTAGTATATTCGCGTGTCCGTTTGCCTATATGTAGACAATACAAGTAAAAAATAGAAAAAATTACAAAATGGAGATCCAACAAGAACCTACCAACAGAAGGGGGAAATATAATCCTTTATTTAGCACTGCCTGCGTTAATATTACGTTTAAACACTTGTTTCTACGCTAGTACCGCAGAATATTTGCAAGAATTTTTGCTCAGACCGAACGAGAAGTTGATTTTCTCTATATAAGTACATATGTATGTATGTTTGTGTATGTATGCATGCCAAGCCACTTTGACGATTTCACAAAGTGTGTATGTGTAGTAAAACATACACACACGTTCGACACTCAATTACAATTTTTCACATTTCACGAAGTAAATTTCAAACAATTATTAGACATTTAATTATCTTGAGACTGGACAACAATTTTGAAAAAAGAATAACTATATTTCGATGTAATTGAAATTTAATTTCGGTGCACGTTCGACAACGGGGACGGTACAAGTTACTAGTGTATTAAATGAACGCATACAGCTATGGCTGCTGTCAATATTGCCACCTAGTCGAAAACCAAACATTGGATAGAGTAACTTGGGGTGTAAGGTGGCAATCGTAAAAAATGTATATGTACATAGATGTCGACGCATATAGCATAGTTCGAATTTATTTTACAGCTTGCCTGGACAACAGTTAACTTAGTGCCACAAACTGACAGAATCGACAGATGCTTCTACGTCATTATGTAAAATATTTAAAGCGTGGCAACTCTCGACCTGGAACATATGTATATAACAATCACTTTCCAATGCATGATACACAAACGAACAGAATTAATTCTGCATTGACACACACATTCGTACACATTCGTATAACATACATACGCGAGAATATTCGCTTGTATTTTTACCACCATATACATAGGTTATGCATATTTAGGTTATGTCTGAAAGTTTGGTTTTTGTGAACAAATAGTCCTTCTCTTAGCATACATGCCTTATTTGTTTTTTATTTCTTTTGTGCTGCAAGACAATACCAACACATTAACACTGTTATAAGTCCTATCGGTACTGAAATTTCCAAAGCTTTTCGTTTCAATGACAGCGCTTGTTTTTGGATGAATACGCACACAAAAACATTCACTAATCGTGCTAATTCATTTTAGCACACGCGCTTGAAATATGAAGTACCTATATGACGCTCTCGCTCGCTCTTCGTCTGGAACAACGACAACCGATAAAAGGCTTTAGCGTACATTACCGATGTTTTGTATGGCAATCGATATTAATCAACTTTACGTAAAACAAAACCACAGCTCTTAGGGTATTCCCTAAACTGTTGAATTGCTGAATTGTTGAAAGTTCAACAGAAAATTTCAGCAATCAAGGAAACGACCCAAAAAGATTCCTGTTGAATTTTCAAACAGCTGTTATTTGTTGAAAAGTTTTACGGAACATAAAACTTGTAAAATTTGATTTTATATTGCTAGTTACTGTCTAAAATTGTTATTAAGGTTAAAAGAACCACAAATATGCTTTCTAAGTTGATTCTAAAATAAATAATGCGTACTAGTGATACTAAAATGTTACAGAGTTGCCATGACTTTTAATAAAAAAGGTGATAACTCTGGCTTTTCAGCAATTCAACAAAATTTTCAACAGCCCCGAGGCTGTTGAATTGCTGAAATTTCTGAAAATTGAATTTGTATGGAACAGCTGATTAACAGCTGACCAAAATTCTACAATTCATCATTTCAACATTTTAGGGAATACCGTGTATCAGACAAAACAAGAAAGGAAGTTAACTTCGGCCAGCCGAAGTTTATATGTACATATACCCTTGCAGGTATGCCTACTTAAAATGTTGTTTTTACAATGTCCAAAATCAAAACGCCTACTTTCTACAAAGTTGCAATGGTTTTTCTATTATTTTTTTGATTATTCCTATGGGAGACATAAGATATAGTGGTCCGATCCGACACCAATCCAAAAACCTTTAAACTTGAATAAAACATACATATTTCCACATGATCTTGCCGCTAAATTAGTTGGACTCTGAGCTTACCTAAAGTTTGGAGTGCATGTAGTTTGATTATTTTTATGACAAACCCCATATATGCGCAAAAGTTAGATTTTGGCTATTTTTTTGTTATTTTTGTACCCGTTACTCGTAGAGTAAGAGGGTATATTGTATTCGTGCAAAAATATGTAACTGCTAGAAGGAAGCGTTTCCGACCCCATAAAGTATATATATTCTTGATCAGGGTCACTAGCTGTGTCGATATAGCCATGTCTGTCTGTCCGTCAAACTGTCTGTCCGTATGAACGCCGAGATCTCGGAAACTAAAAAAGCTAGAAGGTTGAGATTTTCCACACATATTCTTGGGCTTCCTACGCAGCGCAAGTTTGATTCAGCCGCGGGTCACGCCTTAAACGATTTTAAAAGGTGTCTTGCACCCACACTTTTAAAGATTTCGAAAAGTAAAACGTTCGAAAACGTTGGAAGGAGACAGGCAAGACCTTTGGTCTTTTATTTTTCTTTTTAATTTTTTACTTGTGCATATGAGACTTTTGATATCAAAAACATACCTGATTCTTATTCTATGACGTTGAAATTTTTGGAAAAATTGTCATGCAAACACTAAAAAAAGTTTATATTTTGGTAGTACCGTTAAGCACAATTCAGTTTTATTAAATATTGCAAATAATGTTTACATTTGTTTTTTTTTTAAAAAGGTGATGAGATGAGATTCCTTACAATATAAATGGCATTTTTTTTCTGCTTAACAGGTCGGCCATTGGTTTTACCAATTACTGAGAAAATCAAAACCCTTAGGGATTTGCAGTTCTGTTTCTAAAAGCTTTGCATTTTCGTCTTGACGTAAATCTTTAAATTCATTTTCATAATCAGAAAAATCGTTTGACATGCTGCTTTTTGATCCAAAAGTATAAAGCAGTTGCAATTTTTCATCAGAGTCGAAACATTCTTCGTTCTTATAAACACAGTGGCTTTTTTGGTCATTTTTTTGCTTACAAATTTCTTTTTTACTTTGACTAACGTCGGTCTTAGTATTGACAATAATTTGGTGATTTGGTGATTTTATGTTATTTAAAACTTTTGTCCTTAATTTTAAATAGAGAGGTTTCGATACATCCATGGGCGATCTGACAGCAGAGACATCATCACATTCTTTTAATGGTATGTTTATTTGGGATTTGGTTCGATAACTAAATGGGTATGAATGTTCATCGCGACATTCTCTGGTATTTTCGTCATGTAATATTTTTAATCCAACATTTTGATAAATGTATGTGTGCAAATCTTGCCCGTTATATGAATATACTTCGTCTCTATAAGCAAATTGGTGATAATCATTATTTAAAATGTCTGTTTTTAACTGAGCTTCTCGTGCCAAACAGTTGGATTCAGTCATATTATAGTACTTATATATTTCCGCATTTATTAAATGATTGTTCAATATTTTTTCCTGTTGATTTAAAGACAACGCAAGCCAGGCATCTCGACTGTATGAAGATTTTACTTCATTTACGTCGCGCATAATCTTTTCAGATAGGGAATTAAGCTGTGAGAAGTATGACTGGATTCCTTCACGTGTTGCCATCTTCAACCTGAAAGTAAATTACATTTTTATGTTTGCATTAACAAAATATATTACTTAAGCATGCTGCCTTAACTTAGTTTGTTTAAATCTGATGTTTAACCGTTGCAGAGATTCTATAATTAAAGTTAGACATTTGCAAAACAGTAAAGAAGACGTTTTCGACCACAAGTATATATATACTTGATCAGCACCAACAGCCGAATTGGATGAAACAAACTTGCGCTGTGTAGGAGCCCCAAGAATCCATGGTTAATTCCATATAGCTTTTATAGATTCCAAGATCTCAGCGGGAAATGGCTAGATCGACTCGGTGATTTTACGAATACAATATAGCCTTTTACTCAACACTGCGCGAAATATCATCAGTTTTCGGAATTTTTATCCGGTTGTTCCTATGGGAGCTATAAGATACAGATCAGACGGACAGAATGTTGATTCTTGACAATTTGAAAAGGCAATAATTTCTCTGAAAGCCCAGGCACAGTGCCGATCCCAACACGCTCGAAAGTCTATATGTATATTTCTGTTTCGATTGACACCGTTTTGCATTTTTTGTGCGTGGCCCCGTGAGGGCCGTCCGGGTTAACCTAACCTAACCTAACTGAACTGAACGGAAAACAAAAACGGTCTTTTAACCCTTTATACCTACGTGTTTAGACCAGCGGTCGGCACACACATACAATAACATTTTGTTTTATATTTGTGTGAGTAAATTTCACTGGGCAGATCATCAGAGTGTGTGTGCAGACCGCTGTTCTACAGTATACGTGAGCAAGCAGCGGCTGGGCAGAACAAAACCCTATGCTAGTTTAGACACAGCTAAACTTTGGACAAAAAACGGTCAACACGCCGTAAAAGGCTGCTATATGGAAGCCTAAAAATATGCAGTAATGCATATTCTTTACAATATGCCACGGAACTTTGATAGAGATCAAAGACAGAACAAAGTCCAGCACACACTAAGGGCTTGATCAGCTTTTCGAAGTTTACCGATCTGGCGCCGCTATAATTCCCAACAAGTTATAGCGCGGCTTGCATGGTAACCCACTTCGATCGTTGACCAAGACAGCGATTTCACTGCTGATGATTGTAGTTGGCTTCTACATTAAACATGCATGTACAGTGAAGCCTCTTCGCTCATCTTTGTGTGTTGGCATGATGCCGACGTCTTGGACTTCTTGAAGTCTAAGCCGGCATGACCTCGAGTTTGCTAAAAAATTCTCTATAACGAAAAAAGGTCGTATCAAAAAACTACTATAAAAATTCTACTTTTTTCCAAATATTTTAAAATTATTTACATTTTTTAAGTTTATTTTTTTTTAAATAATTAGATTTTTTTATTTATAAAAATCTTAAAGGGGGTGTAGGGTCTTGCAAAAAAAAAAATATTGATTTTTTTAAATTTTTTTCTTGTAGATTAACATCTTAAGATTATACAAAAAAAAATTTTAAGTCAATCGGACAAAAACTTTAGAAGTTATGCTAAATCTAGTACCCTAACCTCTAAGACTTTAGGTACGTAAGTGCATATTCAAGTGCGTTTTTCGCGAAACCACGTTTCGAAAGTCTGTGTTCATCGGCATTTCTAAACGGCCCAACCGATCGTTTTCAAATTTGTCGCCTATTTTTCTGCATAAAAAAACCCGCCCCTGGGAAGCGTTTTTTTTAATTTTTTAACTTTAAATATTTTATTTTTAAGCCGAAAATAAAATTTTTATGTGAAAAACGCATTTTTGACTTTGGACTTTCAAAAAAATTGTCAAAAATACCAAATTAAAAAAAAGGGCTTCCCAGGGGGCGGGTTTTTTGAATTCCTAAACGAAATGTAATATCAAAATGGAAATCCGATCATTTTTAGCAGAGGTACAGTGAACACCGCAAAACGCCTTTTTATACCCTTGCAGAGGGTATTATAATTTCAGTCAGATGTTTGCAACGCAGTGAAGGAGACATTTCCGACCACATAAAGTATATATATTCTTGATCAGCGTCAATAGCCGAGTCCATCTAGCCATGTCCGTCTGTCAGTCTGTCCGTCTGTCCGTTTCTATGCGAACTAGTCCCTCAGTTTTAAAGCTATCGCGATGAAACTTTCCCAAAAGTCTTCTTTCTATTGCAGGTAGTACATATGTCGGAACTAGCCGGATCGGACCACTATATCTTATCTTTTTTGATGCCTAAGACCCTACCCACCCCTTAAACAACGAGTGTTTTGGATTTTATTATTGTCTCTTAAGCTTGAACGCGAATTACAGAGCTTTAGAAGACCAATATTTCCAGTTATACTTTTACCTAATGTAAAATATGAAAAACCGCGAATTCTTCAGAAGGTGATGGAAGATGAAGATGATTTACTAGTATAACACCATCTCTTAGACGCTTTATCAAACAAAATAAAAACCGCGAGTTCTTCAGAAGATGATGGCCATTGTATATTACTCGTATAACACCGTCAATTAGAGGTTTTGTCTTACAAGACTTAAAACCGCGAATTCTTCAGGAGATGATGGCCATTGTATATATTTACTCGTATAATTCTTTGGACGATAATGCTAACAGTAACGGTAATTGTAATGCACCTGGTGCTAATAATTAAGTTATTTACAATATATGTATTTTCAAATAAATGTTCTTTATATTGGCTTAAATTTTTTAGGCAGAACTGTCAAAAAAGATCGTTTTTACTGAGCATTTCAATGTTTTGTTCATCTTCTAACAGTTTTTTGGGACCGAAACTCGGGTTTTGCAAGACCCAAAAAATTTACGATTTGTAAATTAATAGAATGATCTGGAAGGGTATATAAGTTTCGGCTTGCCGAAGCTAGCTTTCCTTTCTTGTTTTTATTGCATTTAGTATATAACTATATCTTATAGCTCCCATAGGAAAAATCGGGAAAGAACGTTAAAAAAATTCAAACTTCTGTGTTTTTTGAAATATTACCTTCTACTCTTGGGAATATTTATACCCGTTACTCGTAGAGTAAAAGGGTATATTGTATTCGTGCAAAAGTATGTAACAGCTAGAAGGAAGCATTTCCGACCCTATAAAGTATATATATTCTTGATCAGGGTCACTAGCCGAGTCGATATAGCCATGTCCGTCTGTCTGTCCGTATGAACGCTGAGATCTCGGAAACTATAAAAGCTAGAAGATTGACATTTTGCATGCAGATTCTAGGAGTTCCTACGCAGCGCAAGTTTGTTTAAAAAGGGTGCCACGCCCCCTCTAACGCCCACAATCGCTTATATACGATTTTAAAAATTTCAATATTTCGGAAAAGTAAAAATGCAGTTTTATGGTGTTTATTAATACCTATCGAAATGAAGAAGACATTTTTTAAATCGGACCATTCGTGAAAAAGTTACGGCGGATCAAAGTTTTTATCGCCACCTCCTTCGCACTCCCTTTAGCTGAGTAACGGGTATCTGATAGTCGGGGCACCCGACTATCTTGTTTTTTTTTAACATTTCTAAATTTCAAATAAAATTTTGAAAAAACCGGATCATTATATCATTTAGCTGCCATAGGAACGATCAGATAATTAAATGGAAATTAATAGGAAAAAATTATATCTTTGTTGTTTTTATTACATTTTCTTCTTCACTGGTATATAGTTTTTCTTCGAATTAATTTTGAAATAAATTTAACAAAATTCAAAAGTCTATATTAAGCTAGCTTCCTTTCTTGTTTTTATTTGTCTTTCAAACAATAACACTTTCTAACGAGGTACAAACCTAGTGACGACCGCACCTTAAATAAAGCAACTTTCTGTATAAATTGTAAGAAAGACAAATAAATACAATAAAAATAATTTTGTAGTTTCCTAATTTCTCCGTTTCGGTACAGAAATGCTTATAAACTGTAAAATAACGTCTACAAATTTATATCGCACTGCTTTTCTAGAAATTACTGCCGGATATGAAAGTACTGTCCCAAAACATTTTAAGAAGTATTAAAGTTGACTGATTTTACGGCAAACATAATTAGAAATCATTTTTATAGCTTTATATATGGTTGCTATACAATTACCCAGAACTCTAAAATCCGCACTGCTCGAATCCTCTAGGTAGGGCTTCCAGAAGTTCGGCCTAATTAGCTGGTGTCCTCAGAATGACACTTTGATTCACAAGGGTCCTATCAAATACTTGAAGTATATACTGGCCTAAGAGCATTATTCTCTGAAAGAAAAACATAATTAAAATTTTGGTAATACATATTTGGATAATTATTATTATTATATTATTATTTCATGAGTTTTTCTGTTCGGAAAACGGTATTTTCAATTCAATATTTTGTTGATTTTTTTCTTGACGCTCTTTTAAAGCGAGAAAGAGGATTAAACCTACAGTGAGTAACATTAATATTCGGTTTTTTTTAACTTCAAACGTGAATGAAAGGTTTGAAACTAATGAAACCAAAATTTTAATAATGCAGAAATAAAGCTTAAATAAAGCAGGAACTAAAAATATTCGTCGAAAAAGATCTCAGCATTGAAAAGCAGGAACAAAAACTAGTGCTACTCCAGCTAAAACGCCATCTTGCAGCGGTTGACAACAGCATCAAAGTAATGGTCAGGGGAGATGAAATTAACATACAAGGCAAGTGGATGCACTATAACCCTGAAAAAACACTAATCCACAAAAGTCAACCAGCCGATTTAAATGCGATGTATGGAAATAAGATAAGCTCAGACGACATAAGCTACACATACCTTCTCTCTAAAGCAAGACTGCCAAAAAACTAGAAAAAAAACAAAAAACAGTACAGCAGCCAAAGCCCTAACCCGATAAATAAAATTAGTTTAAATATAAATATATTTAAATACAATATAGCTGGACTAGCAAATAAACGTCTTTTTAGTAAATTCTTCTCTTTTATAAACTCTTTTGAAATATTCACCAGTATGAAACGTATTTCCCAAACCACAAGCTACATTGGATTCCCGCAACCAGAAGATTTGCTAGAGGGCGGGCGAGTGGAGGACAGGTTTTTGGGATAAGCAAACAGATGGACCCTGGAGTAAACTGCAGCTTTACAACACAACAAGGCGTAGCCACAATATCCTTGTCCTGCGCCCAAAACAAACTTTCCATACTGCCCGTATACCTGAACTGCAACAACTGGAAGCAAGATTTTGAGGACCTCTACAATTGGCTACTAGACTACAATGGAAACAACGTCATGATAGTGGGCGACTTGAATGCGAGGATAGGAGAGCATCAGATCGAAACGGAGACTGGATTCTTAATGGCGAGCTTAATCAACGAGACTCGAAGAGCCTGCGACAAAACAGCGGATGGAAATGGTCTTAAGCTAATAGAACTACGGATACGGATGGCAACTTTACTTTCGTAAGAGGTCAAGCCTGCTCCACGATAGACTATTGTGCTATAAGAGGAGCCTGGCACAATCTTATTAAACGCTTTTCGGTTTTAGAAGAAACTTTCTCAAATCATATGCCGCTATGTGTAGAAGTAGAAGTTGCGACAAACTCAGAAACGCAGCCCCAATTGAACGGGGACCATCTGCTGCCCAAGCTAAGATGGGTGGAATCAAAGGCGCAAAGGTACAGAAACAGGCTGGATAGATGTCTGAGGCAAAGAAGCGAAAACAACGAATGCACAATAAACGAAGTCACACGGGTCATCCAAGAATCTGCACAAGCCTTGCAAAGTGAGCGGCGTCAAAACTTTAGGCAGCCATGGTTTGATAGTCAATGTGAGCGCGCGCGAAAGCACGCTTTTAAACAGCTCCAGAATATTAGGAAGAACCCCAACGATGAAACCAAACTTGCCTACCAAACAGCCAATACAGCGTATAAGTCACTATGCAGAGCAAAAGAAGCGGAGTACTACCAGCGTCTGGAGATGGAAATTGGTGAAATAAGAGACAGTAAAGGTTTTTGGGAAATGGCAAAGAAATTAAATGGATTGAATACCAGACAGGGAGGAATCAAGGTAACCGCATTGTCGCTTGGGGTACACTTTAAAGGACTACTTCAGCTGTCAAGCAGAACGCAGATTAACTACTGCCATATGTGGAAATAAATGAGCTCGACGAACCGATACGACTCAGCGAAGTCCAAGATGCAGTCCGAAGGAGCAAAGTAAACAAGGCCCCCGGTTTTGATCGAGTTCCGGCCGAGCTCTACAAAAACGCCTCAACGGAGCTAATTTCCCTATTAACGCTGGTGTATAATCGCATTTTTGAAGACCGTATGGCACCAGAGAGTTTCAAGCGCAACATAATTTTCCCGATCTTTAAGAAAGGTGACCCAAAAGCTGCTGTCCAAAAAATCTTTACGTCGATACTATTAGAGAGAATATCCAAGTACGTAAAGCGAAACCAAATTCTAAGCGAGTACCAAGCCGGTTTCAGGAAAGGCTACTCGATAGTTGATAGCATTTTTACATTAACATCTACTGCAGCGCAGTTCTATAAAAAAAAAAGAAAAAAATGTACCTGTTTTTTTTATTGATTTTAAAGCAGCTTTCGACACGATCGACAGGAAAGCATTAATCCTAAAGCTGAGTAACCGAGGGATCTCAACCAAAATGACCGAAGTAATTCAAAATCTTTATTCAGAGAACCGCACAGCCGTATGGGATGGTTTGAGACAAGCATCCGAGTTAAGCAAGGATGTCTTAGTCCCTTACTTTTCTCCTTATTCGTTGATGACATCACAGAAGGCCTACCGGGAGGAGTCTTATTTGCAGACCATCAGATTAAAGTGCTCATGTACGCAGACGACATGGTGATGCTGGCAGACAGTCCCGAAACGCTGCAAAATCAATTACACCCACGCCTACTGTACCAACTGGAATCTCCAAATTAACCTGGACAAGTCAAAAGTTATGTGCATCAAAGATCCCAGGGGACGCATGGCCAGAGATGAAAGATGGACGTTGAATGGTACCGAAATTTAAGTAGTAAAGGAGTACAAATATCTGGGAACGGTCTTATCATCAAACAAAAGCTTAAGGATGCCAAAGTTGCACTGAACAGTACTTGGAGTTCTTTCCTGGCAAAGCAAGAAGTCAAGAGTAGCATTAAATACAAATTATTCGAAGCCACAGCAAAAGCCATAATGTGTAATTCTGCCGAAGTCTGGGGACACACGTATTCCGAAGAAGTAGAAAAATTGCTAACTTTTTTCTTAAAAAGACTCTTTAGGTTGCCATCGAACACACCAAATTACGCAATTACGCTAGAAACAGGAGCCCCCCTCTTTTGCAGTACACTGAATAGTCACTTCAGCTACATCAGAAAAGTGATGTCCTTTAACGACAGGAGGCTTCCAAAAATTGTGGCATCACACATGCTACAAAGCAAATCGCAGTGCTTTCAAGAGTGGTGTCATCTAGCAAGCAGTGTTAACGTGCAATTCGACTGGGACGATCAGACCACTTGGAAGGACAGTCACCAAAACATACTCGAGGCGATAAACATCCAAGTGAGGCAACGAGCAGAAGAACAAGCAAGGCAAAGTGAGAGCCGAGAACACTACAGAACGCTTGAGTACAATCTAGGCACGAAAAACTATTTTAGCGACCACTTTAAAATCTATGCTATTTCCACGATCTTCAAAGCTAGAGTGGAGATACTACGACTAAACTACGCGCCACATAGACGAGCCCAATCGGAGGAATACACACTCTGTAACCGAAGAGAACGGGAAGACTCCTTCCACTTCATAGCAACATGCCCTATTTTACGCCGATTATACTGGGAAAAAGACGAGTTAGGCTACGCGGAATTCCAAAACATACTAAATGGAGAAACTTGGCCGAATCTAATAGGCTTCCTAAGCGAGGCGCAAAGATATAGAAATCAACTCTTTGATGAATCGATATAGGAGGCACCTTTGCATGTATAGGCGCTTTTCATTCGAACGATCTGGTATCTGGGGAAGACCCGGGAAGCCAGGTGTATTAGAATGGGAAGTCATCTGTATATGCACGGTGATCAGCTGACGGTTTTAAAACCATGCTGATTAAAATATTATATTTTTTTTTTAATAAATGTCTTTATGTTAGAAAGTAATTTTTATATATGTATTATGTCAACCCCCAATATTTTTTATTAAATAAAAGATCTACTACTACTACTACTAAAGCTTATTTTATTATCTTTTCATAGATATATACATATATACGCAGCGCAAGTTTATTTCAGCCGAGTGCCACGCCCCCTCTAACGCCCACAATCGCCCACTTACGATTTTAAAATGTGTCTGCCGCCCACACCTTTAAAGATTTCCGTGAAGTATAAATGCAATTTTGTTGTGCATATTTATACCTATCGAAATGTAGAAGACATTTTTCATTTTTCAAATCGGACCATTCATTAAAAAGTTATACGCAATCAAAAAAAAGTTATATCCATCTCCCTCGCACTCCCTTTAGCCGAGTGACGGGTATTAGATAGTCGGGACACGAACCCGACTATAGCGTTCTCTCTTGTTTTTTTGTAGAATGGACTACTAAACCCTTCGCCTACCACTAGAAATCCGTTTCAGCACGATACTATTATCCCGCTAAAAAAATGGATGGGTAGAAAAACGAAGTCGCTTGAAAATTCATTTTTCCCTAAGTTTTGTATGGAATCAAGCAGCAAAACGCTTCCTCTGAGCGACTCTGCTTTTCTACCCATCCATTTTTTTTTGAGGGATGATAGGATTGTGCTGAAACTGTCCCAAAATACGCAAAACAAGAAAGGAAGCTAGCTTCGGAAAGCCGAAGCTTATATACCCTTGCAGATCATTCTATTAATTTACAAATCGCAAACATGTTAAATTTCCTATTATTTTACATTATTTTTCGATCGTTTCTATGGCAGCTATATGATATAGTATTCCGATGTTTTTAAAATTAAAATCGAAATTCTGAAATATTTAAAAATAGTCATATCCCAGAGTAGAAGAAAATGTAATAAAAATCAACAAAGATAATAAGATAAAGATAATAAAGATAATTTTTTTCCTATTAATTTTCATTTAATTTTTCGACCGTTTCTATGGCAGCTCTATGATATAGTGATCCGATTTTTTAAATATTTTATTCAAAATTCAAATATATTTAAAAAATAATAATCCCAAGAGTAGAAGGTAATATTTGAAAAAACTCCAAAGCTAGAATTTTGTTAACTTTTTTTCTGATCCTTCCAATGGGAGCTATAAGATATAGTTGTCCGATCCGGTCGGTTCCAACATATACTGTCTGCAATAGAGAGTAGACTTTTGGGAAAGTTTTATCCCGATAGCTCAAAAACTGAGAGACTACATAGTTTGCGCAGAAACAGTCAGACGGACAGACGGACGGACAGACGCACATGCCTAAATCGACTCGTCTTGTGATGCTGATCAAGAATATATATACTTTATGGGGTCGGAAACGTCTCCTTCACTGCGTTACAAACTTCTGACCAAAATTATAATACCCTCTGCAAGGGTATAAAAAAACCGAAAATTAAGGCAACATTAATATTCGGTTTTTCCTTTTTATACTAAAAATCACAAAATTGATTAAGGAAATAAACTTAATTTGACATTTGAAATGATAGCCATTATTGTCTATCGTGTCCTTTAAATATACGCAGTGAAGGAGACGTTTCCGACCCCATAAAGTATATATATTCTTGATCAGGATCAATAGGGGAGTCGATATAGCCATGTCCGTCTGTCCGTCTGTATGTCTGTTTCAATACCGTTTGCGAGCTCAGTTTAAAAGCTAGCGCCTTGAAACTTTCACAGTCGTCCTAAAACATGTGTACGCAGATCAAGTTTGAAAGCCGACCCGATCGGACGTCTATATCCTATAGCTCCCATAGGAACAATCGGATATAGCTTTCACAAAAATGAAGATATTTCGCTCAGTGTAAGAGCTATTGGCATGAATCTTTCCAAATCGTATTTTTTTGTGCGTACCTTGATCAAAGTAAAAGCGCGTGCCGATCGGACGTCTATATCTTATAGCTCCCATAGGAACAATAGGGTGAAATCGGTCAAAATTTGACGTTTTTCAGGATATTTCGCGCAAAATATTAGCTATTCCCATGAAACTTTCCAAATCGTATTTTTTTGTGCGTACCTTCATTAGGGTAAACGCGCGTGCCGATCGGGCGTCTATATCCTATAGCTCCCATAGGAACAATAGGGTGAAAAATTTTAATATTTTATTTTATCAATTATAAAATATTTTGTTGTTTATTAATTCATGTTGCTAGTCTAGTCAAGTTTTAATTCGTAAAATCTGCAAGGATATTAAAACTTCGGCTTGCCGAAGTTAGCTTCCATCCTCGTTTTTGTTTATGAATGTTTCTCAGTTAAAATTTAAAAAAAAGTAATAACATATATATATTTATGAAAAGGTAATAGGACACGCTTAAGTCCTGCATCATTAAATTTGATTTTATTAGTTTCATAACCTTTACATGTTTGAAGTTGCAAAAAAAAAACCGAATGTTTATGTTACTCACTGTACATCAAGACTGCATGCATTTTTCTCAGCATTGGGAGATGTCACAGAAATCTTTTATAGTTCTTACGTACATCAATGCACAAAACCAAACGTCTTTACTTCGAATAATTTCTTCGACACCACGAGATCTAATTTTATCTTCGAATATCTAGTTGGCGTTCTAGTGCGGTTTTTTAAAAATACATACATACATATGTAGCTAACCTATAGCTAAAAACATGATGTACATACATACATACTCATGCTCGAATTCTTAGTTTGTAAACATGCACCTACTTTTTCGACACAAAATTCACTTGAGATTGTTTGACATTATTTCTTTGTGCTTTAATACTGCACTTTATTATTAAATAATACTAAGTATTTGAAATTGGCCAGTGCGTTAAATTTACACCACAAAATTCTTACCTGTTTCAGTTTCAGCAAGTACAAAAGTTTCAAACTTTGTGTTTTGTTTAAACTTTAAATTTGTTGTGTACTTGCACGTGAAAATTAATTTACATACAATTTTATTTTTCCATTGTTTTATTTTTCTCCGGCGAATTAAACAACAATAAATACAGCTGCACATTCATCGTCATCATCATTTTAATATTGTTATACCATATTCACACGGAAGTTCTAATAGTTTCCTATCGGCATCTATAAGTGTCATATTGCTTTTAATACCTTCTTCACACAGCCGCTTAAAGTTCCAAGAACGAAAAAGATGTAGATCCTGTTCACAAGGGCCGCCGCTACCGATAATAGTACTCTAGTATCGTCGACATAACAGCGCATTGTATTACTTCCCTGTTTAAGAGTTCGTTTTCTACATTGTGCAAGCGCAATATATATATCAAATAAAAGCACCTCTTAACGAGGTAAAAAACTAGTACTAGCACCTTCAACATACACATACAAAAGTTCTGATATTAACATATGTGACGAAAAATTATTACACTCGTAATAATATACACTTTCAAACATTTTCTGATTCGGCCCGCCGTAGCAAACCATTCCAGCCTTTTTCCCTTCACAGGCATTTTCTATTGCAGAAAAAGTGTATTTAATGACGAGTGTAATAATTTTTCGTCACAAATATTGATATCTGAACTTTTTTATGTTAAAGATGCGATCGTCACTAGTTTTTTTTACCTCGTTAAGAGTTGTTTTTTTTTGATATCAGAAGTTTTTGTTTGTTTACATTTGCTCTCATAGGAGCTAATAAATACATTTAAATTATATTTTGGGAAGAAGAAGACAATCTTCTTGTGGCTATAGCTTTTGAACGGAGCGTCGGATTTTATCATATGACCCCTCGTTCTACGATTTTCAATAGGAAAACAACTAAAACATTGCGTGGGGGCATTTATCCCCACCGACCCCAACAGCTCCAAAATTCGAAATTTTCACTTTTATACTTTCTTTGCTCTCTTTTCCAAGTTAATTGATTTTCTGAAAGTCTTGGTATGCAATCCTGTTAGTTTTTGCGATACCTTTCGATTGGTGTATCACTCATTATGATCGGACCATCACAGCAGATTTTCAATTCTGCGGCTATATATAGTAGTCGCCTTCGCACACTCTCCTTGTGCGCACCGTCAGTACATGGACTGCCGTCCATAGTGATAAGGAAGAAATATTCGTAGTTCCGGAATTCGGCCGATGTTGCAGAAATGGTTAAGGCAGTTTTATGATTAAATACAAAAGACAACTTTGAGAAAATGTAGCAACTTAAAACCCCCGAGACCGTTGAAAATTTTTTTGAATCGTTGAAACCGATACCTTTAGACTATACCCGGACACATACTTACAATGCTCCTATTTTCTTAAATAAATATTGGACCCAATTTGCTAAATATCTTACTATTCAGATCTTTCACGACAAAAGACATTTTAAGCATAATATTAGCAAATTAATAAGACTGATTTAAACGTCGATGATAAAGGTTAAACATCGATGTTTCCAAAATTTATAAAAACATCGATGCATTTTTCCACCGATGCTCTCCACCTCCACAAGATGCAGACAACGCTGTTTTTCAAAAAACATCGATGCTTTCCAAATTTTTATATATCCTTATATCCTCCCTCTTCTCATTGAGTCCATCCGTCTGAAGCGGTTGGGACTTTTGACAAATGTGAAATTCGTGTTCCCATAGAGTTTCCATCCACATCCAATAACAGCTGATCTGAAGACCAGTTGCTCATCTCAACATAAACGAAGAAGGGTTTCAACTCAGCAAAACTGTCTTAAATTTGCGTTATCCTAATCTTATTGAAGAAGAATATAATAAATAGCGTGAGATAATTGTTAAAAAACATATCAAAACTTTTATAACATATCCTTACATAGCTTACATTTTGGCCCACTCATAGCAACCTGCTTGCAAACGCTTTTCCGCTAACAACAAACTACAAATAATTCAACAATAGCCAAAAAACAAAATGCTTAAGCATTTGATTTGATTTGTTTTCGCAGTCATCGTTCCATTTTTCACAGTCAAGATGAAGAATTCAAAGTTGCACTGAAAAAACATCGCCTAACTATTGCAAAAAAGAGCACACCAAGTCCGTCAAAATTGGATGGCGGACTAGCTGGGAAATTTTCGGAACGGCAAAACCTTACGGATGATGGATGGAGCTCTGTGGGAAGACCCTATGAAATTATAAAAATAATTCTAAAATCTAAATGCAATTTGTATTATCCACCGTTTATAGGCTAAGCAGCGTCGCGCCTACACCACCAATACCAATCCCTATGGATTCAAGCAAAAAATTAAACATTATAATAACTATAATACGAACAAGAAAGGAAGGTAGCGGCCAGCCTTGCAGATCATTCTTATTAACTAACAAAAACATTAAATTTAGATTTACATGCGTATATGGTAAAATAATGTACATTTTAGCTGTTATCCAAATTTAGGTGTTTAAATTTATTCGAAGTTTTGAAATGTTAAAGAAAAGCTTTATCCCATAAAATAAGAAAATGTAATAAAAATCAAGAAAAATATAATTTTTTTCTATTAACTTCCGTTTTCTTTTCCGACAATTCCTATTGCAGCTATATGATAAAGTGATCCGATTTTTTAAAAATTCAATTAGAAATTCATAAATATTTAAAAAATAATATTCCCAAGAATAGAAGATAACATTTATGTGAGCAATAAGATATAGTAGTCCGATCCGGACGATTCCCTCTGCAAGTTTATATAAATGTAACAAATTACAAACCTTTTACGTCCCTTTTTCTTTGAACAGTGATGGCCGTAAAAACATCGATGTTCCAAAAAAACATCGATGTTTTGAAAAATGGGAAAAACATCGTTGCATCGATGTTTCCATCGATGTTTCTGCACCTCTACTCTACACTCCAAGTTATCGAAAAAATATGTATACAATTAAATGAATATACAATATGAGTTTTTGTTAATAAGTCAGCAATATGAATAATTGCATTCTCGAGGTGGAGTACGAATATGTTGTGTTAAAAGTAAGTTTACAATGTGAGAACACCTATAGTCTTACGGATGTTTTTAACATAAAAATAAAACTGTATAAGTATCGCCAGTCGTCTTCCCAAGCATTACAAAGGTCTTTGTTTTTCAGATAAACGGTTACGATATTAGCCACTTGCCAAGGTATGAAGCGGTTCAAAAGTTCCTTCAAGCTAAAGAAACCCTAGTAGTTGAACTGTGCAGACAAAAGCACAAGGCATTAGATTTAGGATTACGACAAGATGCCAAGGATAAACTATCAGATGGGGAGAAACCCATTCCAATCGCTTTACAATCAGACACAAGCGAACCAGATTCTTCTGCCTTAATTGAAAAGCCAGCCGAAGCAGCGTCTGCAGCCACTGCAAGTGCCTCTCAACAAGGAAATTTCCCTACGTCAATAACTCCTGCTCCTCTGGAAGTACCCGCAACGAACAGTCCCGTCGTTTTGACTCTACGTGCTTTAAGCCATGAAGAACGCTCGGGCAATTTGGCCGCATCGAAGGAAACACAAACTCAAACTTTCGACGACAGCGACGTTTTGAAGGACCACGACTTGGTTCAGACGATAGCCGACCACTTCATCGAGCAGGAACACCACTTGTTCGAGCAATGCCTTGAACCGGAAATCGATATTGAGGTAGTTTACCAATATATTATATATAAGAACACAGCTTTATTAGCTTAGGCCTAAATTCAATTCAAAACTTTAGTATCTGACTTATTTAAGGTCACCGAAATAGTTAATGGATTTGTGTATTTCCAGAGGCTGTTTCAGTTTTGGTACGACTACTTTGTTCAAGGTAGCTAAACGCAAAAACGCAGTATCAGTAACATCCCTGCAGGAAAAATGCGAACCAGTCTGAAAAACAACTAGTTATACAACTAATACAAAGCAACCAGAATCAGGGTCTAGAAAATTTGTAATAGTCGAAAAAATGAATAATACAAAACTAGCAAAAAAGCAACTTGTCTCGGACTGGTACCTTTCTCACAAAAAAAAAACTTAACAAATATTTAATTGGTAGAAGAAATAAAGTCCAGTTAAAAGACAACTGGAATTTAACTAGTTGCAATTGAAACACATATGATCCAAAAATATAGCCTAGGGTGTAAATGTCTTGGGAAATTTAACACAAAACCAATCAAACAATCTCGGTTCAATCCCCAGTCCTCGTAAATTATTTTTATACCCTTGCAGAGGGTATTATGATTTCTGTCAGAAGCTTGCAACGCAGTGAAGGAGACGTTTCCGACCCCATAAAGTATATATATTCTTGGTCAGCATCACTAGACGAGTCGATCTAGCCATGTCCGTCTGTCCGTCCGTCTGTCCGTCCGTTTCTACGCAAACTAGTCTCTCAGTTTTCAAGCTATCGGGATAAAACTTTCCCAAAAGTCTTCTTTCTATTGCAGGTAGTATATAAGTCGGAACGAGCCGGATCGGACAACTATATCATATAGCTCTCATAGGAACAATCGGGAAAAAAAATGTAAAAAAATTATATCTTTTGGTGTTTTTGAACCTATAACATCCTACTTTTGGAAATGTCATTTTTTATCTAATTCTGAATTTCGAATAAAATTTTTTTCAAAATCGGACGGCAAAATTAATGAGAAATAATAGGAAAATTAACATTTTTGCGATTTGTAAATTAATAGGAATTATCTGCAAGGGTATATAAGCTTCGGCTGGCCGAAGCTAGCTTCCTTTCTTGTTTTGTTTTTTGTTTGCTAGGTAATGATTTAGTTTTATTTTAAACTTAGTTTAATCTGTTCAATGAAATATATAGGTATGTGAAAAATCACTGTTTGAATTATGTCACACTAAAATTCATAAATCTTGTTAGGGCATTACAAAATGTGATGCGTGTATGGCTCTATCAGTTAGTGTGTCTACTAATCCAAAGGGATCAAGTCCTAGGAAGGGCGACTTGTCTCAGAAAAAGTAAGTTTGTTCTAATTCCATATAATTATCATATACAGTACAGATAATCATCAGAATTCCTCTAAGGACCGCGGCTATTAATTGGCTACTAATTAGGAGAGCGTCAAGTTAAGCACCGTTAAGTACTAGTGAAATCCGATAACTTGTGGATTAGAGTTACATTTTTAAGTTTTTTTGTGAAAATATTTGTTTTAGTGTGGTTTAACAGCTGTAAAAGTAAATTGGTTAACAGCAACTAGTGCAAAACTGGTAACAAATGCATATGAAAAATGAACCAGTTCGTTACAAGGGAATGGACATAACTTGAACTAGTTAACCTTCCTGTCCCAACTAGTATTTTACTGGTCCAAAACTGATTCCGTTTCCTGCTGGGTTACCAGTATATAAAAAACAGTTACATATTAATTATATAAATTACAAATCGGTAAATGGAATCATTTTTGTAGAACAAAATATCGAAAGATCAGGAAAGTCATACATTATGAGCATTTGTGTACATTGTACATGAATGAATTTTATAATAATTATTTCAAGATCCTTTGGGTCATTTGTTTAAAAGTTTAAATATAAAAGTCTGCCAGTGAGAGCACAATGTATTTTAATAACTAATTATTTAATGTTTTATATTTAAAGGAAGTAACGCTTATTAAAGCGGATCAAAATTCAAGCAACGATCAAATTGGCCTGATTGTTTGCTCCTCTGGATTTCAGTCGTCAAGTATCGAAACGAATAAAGGTGATATACTTTGCAATGATTCAGAGCACTGCGAGGATGTGTTTATCAGTGCTATACAACCGGAAAGTATAGCCCATCGAGATGGGCGCCTACGACAGGGTGATCAAATTCTTCGTATTAACGGTATGGATGTCAAAAACCAGGAGGAGGTAGAAACCCAGATAGCGGAGAGTAGCCCCGCGGTAACTCTTCTAGTTAGTCGAATTCTATACCCTGTAAGCTTGAGTTTGTCCTAACAAGTGCATAATTAAAATAACTTTTAAATACTCTCAACTGTTTGCCAAAGTCAGTATCTAAAGATACTGATACTGATACTGATACTGACACTGATACGGTCATTAAAGCCCTTATCAGACTCGTCTTTTTTAGCACCACCCAGAAATATTTATCGTAATTGGCTCCTTAAAATATAACTAAAAGTCAGTAGAAACGTTCAATATTAACCATTTTAATTAAGCACTGCAACATTGTTTCACTTGTTTATATTTAAACTAATTAAGATATTTTTTAACTGATTTTAATAGGAAGACGAGGATGACGAAGACATTAATTTTGAGTACGCAAATACATTTTTACCAGATGACTACACAAATGTAGTGGATAAATTGGATAAGGTCTTATTAAGTCACGTACAGTCGTTTGAAGAACTATCCAATGAAACCGGCGTGCATTCAGACAAATGTTATATTCCCTCGGAGGAACAGCATTCGTCCGATTCAAAAGATAAATCATCTTCCTTACCGAAAGAATTCAACGACCAATCAAGCAAGTTGTGTAGTAAAATAAAGCTTCGACCAGATGCAAGTTTCGACCACCGAAAAACGTTAAACCAATCAATAGGCGAAAATCAAGTTCACCTTCAATATGAGTACGACGAAAGTGAGCACATTTACGAGACCATTCCAGAAGATTCAGAGTCTGAGCCACTATACTGCTCCCCGTATCAAAGTTCAAACGACAAGACGTCATGTTCATCGGCAATACCAACGACCTCGTCTGAAGTATTAGAATCGACAATGCAGCAACAAACTCAGCGAGTCGCCCAGTGGTTGGGTTTAAAGCCGCAATATCCCAGAACTATTCACACTCTAGTTGGACGTCCCACGCCACTAAAATTAAACCAACAGCCAACTTGCAGTCGTGTTTTCACCTTACGCAGCACATTGACAAACACAAGCCGATCCAGCAGTAGTGGAGTCGCTTACAGTGCTTATGGACCAAATAATATTCTTAGTGGAAACGTGGCTATTGGCGAGGAGGTGGATAACTCTTCAAGTGCGTACAATACTGGTGGCTCAAACAATAGCGCCTCACCTCATCAAAATAATACAAATGCTGATGAAGATATCACGGCAAACCAGAAGGCAGAGAGCACGGTAATTGATGGACGAAGAGAAGCTTTGGACACAACAGCTGTAAGCAGTATGCTGCTGTTACCATTTGGCAAATCCGGTCGAATTGGTCTCTGTTCTTCCAATCTGCCAACAGCGTATGTCACGGGTAGGCAAATTAAGTTATTTAATTAATTTTGTAATAGCATGATATTAGTATTTGTATATATGTATACGGTCCAAACAATATTGTACGAGGTGTGCAATAATAAGGTCTTTAAACCATTCACTTTTTGATGTAGTTTGGCAGCCCTTTCTTTCTAAATGTCGTGGGTGCTAAGATTTCAGTGTATGTTGTACTCATATTTGTTGCTTTTTAAAAAGTTACTATTCTCCTATTTTTTTGTGCGTGTTCAGAACGTATTACGTTATTCTCTCAGTTTAAGCACGAACTAGACCTTTAATTATATTTATATTGATAAGCCGCAACAGGACGAATCTTTTGACACATTAGCTTAAAGCTAACATAGGAATCGCAAAATATTAAAGAAATTAAGGTGGAACGATATAATAGAATAATTCGTTGATCAGATGGGGCGACAGAAAGCCTGCCAAAATGTTTTTTTTTAATTTTTCAAATTCTGCAATAAAACTTTAAAAACAATTGAATTCTGCATACAAATAAAAGAATAACGGTCTGTGATGATTTGTTCTCCCACTACTGATAAGTTAATTTTTCCAAACCAAATTTTAGCTAATAAGCAAGAAAAAGGATTTTTATACTTCTTTGAAATAGTTTTGATAGCGCCTATAACCCTAAGTTGTATATGTAAAGATTAAAGAAAGATTAAAACTTTAAGAGTAACCAATTTTTAGCGGATTAAAAAAAAATGTTAAGTTCATAGATCAAATTTATATTTTTTCTTTCTTAGACATAAAGTAGTGTTCCACCCTAAATCCACGTTAAAAAATTTTTTAAGGTTATATATGCGCATCACTGCTGTTAGAATTTTCAACGCAATAAGTGGCTAGATTTGGGATGAAAATTGATACAAATGGCTAGAAATTATGTGATTTAAAATGGATAATTAATTATATTTCGGCTTTGGACCAATAAATGAATGTATTTAAGACAGGGAACGAAAATAACTGTTATTGTAAATTTTTCATACAAAAAAATCACGCACTTAGAAGGGTCCTAAAAATTTTTTAAATACACCACAATTTTTATTAGCCATTGTAGTTTACAAATCCGTAATGATTTTTATTTTTTGATTTTTATAATAAAACTCAAAAAATAACTTTTATTTTTTGATTTTTATGAATAACAGTTATTCCCTTGACATTTTTGAAAAAATGAAATAATTAAAAAAAAACATGATACCCGTGCTTTTTATAACTTACTAAAAATTTGTTAAAAAAGGCAACCGCGCATATTTTATACCTACATTATTTTTAAATTTTGTTTACCCACAAAATGGCCATAAATCAAGTTTGAGTTTTATTTTTGATCACGACGAACAACTGTTATTTGTCAACTTTTATTATAAAACTCAAAAAATAACAGTTATTCTTTGAGTTTTACTTTACAAATCAGAAAATAACTGTTAAAGTGTGATTTTTAAAATAAAACAGTTACGTTCCCTGATTTAAGACTTAAAAAACCGTTTTAATAAAAAAAAGTTACAAGTTTTGTAGAAAGTGGCTAGAAATGCCACTTAATGGCTAAACTAGCAGCAGTGATGCACATAGCTACAAACTCTGAAAAATTCTATAATCTATGACAGCTTAAAGAAATCATTTGCCGATTGAAAAATGTTAAATTGTTCAAAATTTAACTGAAATCATATGAATATAGAAACGAGATACAGCTATAAAATATAGTTGACCGATTTAAATATTTTTTTTTACAAATCAAGTTAAATTTAAAAATATTGGGAAACCTAGATCCCGATAAGTAATTTATTTATATTTATTTTTGATTAAAAACTATATTTTTTCTTTAAAAAAAAAATCACTTTAAATTCACCTATTGATGTTGTTTTTACATATTTAATTACGTTCTACAATATCTCATTAAAATACGGTCGCTATAGGGCTCCTCTGATTTAAGGCAGACTTTTTACGCACCCCATGGTGCCGCAGGTACACATATACTTATACCTTATAATTTCAGTCAAAAGTTTGCAACGCAGTAAAGGAGACGTTTTCGACCACAGTCTTGATCAGCATCAATAGCCGAGTCCATCTAGCCATGTCCGTCTGTCCGTATGTCCGTTTCTATGCGAACTAGTCTCTTAGTTTTAAAGCTATCGCGATAAAACTTTCCCAAAAGTCTTCTTTCTATTGCAGGTAGTACATATGTCGGAACTATATCTATGGCTCTCATAGGAATAATAAAAAAACAATAGAAAAAGCATTGTAACTTTGTAGAAAATAGGCGTTTTGATTTTTGACATTGTAAAAACAACATTTCAAGTAAGCATACCTGCAAGGGTATATAATCTCGGCTGGCCGAAGTTAACTTCCTTTCTTGTTTATAAATGCATTTTAATTATTATTCAAACATTACTAGAATTTGCATGCCTACTCTCAACTTCCTAACTTTTGATAGTTGCTGCGACTTCGACATTCATACGGACTTGACTAAATCGGGTTCAAGCAATAGCACCTGCACTTTTAGCAAGTTTTCGTTGCAATTATCGATAATTTATATAAATTTCATTTTGTTTCAGAGAGGCAAAGCAAGGCTAACCACGAAAGTGAATTTCAAGTTAAAAGCGATCTGAAAGTATTGGGAGTCAAACAAACTGAGGAATCATATAGCCATTGTCCACAGTTTAACGCGCCAAATTTGAGTAGCTACCACTTTGTAAGTAGCCAAGAGGTAAGTGCTATTGGGTCTAAAACTTTATTACCCCTAGAGAGGGAGCAAAACGGAGCTGTTGTCCAAAGCAGGTATTCCAAAGTCGATTTTGATTTTTTAATGCAAATTAACTTTTTAATTTAATAATAAAATTTAATAAATCTTAGACTAGTTTGTTTGACTGCCTGTCCAAATAAAATATGTCCTCTTCTTTTGTCGTAACCAATATTAATAATACCGTAAAGACTTTGTTTCCTGTCCGAAACTTTTATACTTTTACATTACGAAATACTTTTTTTCATGTATGATAACAGGGGGAAAAAAAGCATAGGCACGGAAAGCTTTTAATAAATAAAACGTTTTTTGTATGTGTCTGGTTGCTTTATATATTACATACTGTATGGTTAAAAAAATCTTATTATTTTCACTATTTTAGTTCAGCTACTGAAGCATTTAGGCTGTATGACTAGTTGAACCTACCTGCAGAAGTCATGAAAATTAATAATATTAATGTTAAGTAATTTGAGTATCCTTGGATAATTTTCCAGGACAATATCTATAATATGGACAAAAAGTAATTTTTTAAGTATATTTTGGTATTTTTTAAGTTGCTCTTAAAATGTTTTTTAATTTAAGGTAAAAGAAAAACCACCTTAAAATACGACGGAAAAAACTGTCGCGTGCGACATGTCGCGTGTGATAAAAAAAACTACTACATATTTTTAAACCAAACCAAATATTTAGGGCTAGTACTCAACCTAACAAAAACTAATCCAAAAAAAAATACTATTTTCAGTCAATTATTTGTTGAGGGTCCAGTAGAGTTATAGGGGATATTGTATCGTGGAAAAGTATGTAACAGCTAAAGGGAAGCGTTTCCGACCCCGTAAAGTATATATATTCTTGATCAAGGTCACTAGCCGAGTCGATCTAGCCATGTCCGCCTGTCCGTCTGTCTCTCTGTCTGTCCGTCTGTATGAACGCTGAGATCTCGGAAATTACAAAAGCTAGAAGGTTGAGATTTCCCACACGTATTCTTGGGCAGCGCAAGTTTATTTCAGCCGAGCACCACGCCCCTCTAACGCCTATAATCGCCCACTAAAGATCTTAAAATGTGTCTGGCGCCCACATCTTTAAAGATTTCCGAAAAGTATAAATGCAATTTTGTTGTGAATATTTATACCTATCGAAATGTCAAATCGGACCATTCATTAAAAAGTTATGCGCAATCAAAAAAACTTTATATATCCATCTGCCTCACACTCCCTTTAGCTGAGTGACGGGTATTAGATAGTCGGGACACCAACCCGACTATAGCGTTCTCTCTTGTTTTTTATATTGCTCGTTTTAAAATTATTTTACAAGACTAACAACAGATTATGTTAACGTACTTGAACTTAAGCAATTCCATTTCAAAAACTTCTACTGAGGTGTAAAGAAGCTTTAAGTCACCAAACTATAGAAATTAAGTAGACTTTTTGTTTAGGTTTTTTTACCTTTAGAACGACTTAAAATATATGAGAAAACAGTAACATATATCAAAATGCTACATTGAGCTCTTATGAAGTTAAGTTACACCGTGTTATCTTGTACTTGTATACGATTTTTATCAAATTGTATTTTATAAATCTATTTTCTATAGGTTGCAAACCGATGCCATGATTCCACGAGTTCAAAACCAAATTCTGCGTTGCTTAACGGCGAAAATGGTGAAGAAATACCAATGGTTTGGAAGGTTAAGCGTCGCCCAGATGGAACGCGATACATTGTAAAACGTCCAGTTCGTAATCGTCCCCAAGTTGCTATTCGGAAAAATATGCGTTGTAACGACCTTACGACAACGGAGGACGATACAGTATCTGAAGTAAAAATTGGTCGTTATTGGACAAAGGAAGAACGGAAGCGACACATTGAACGAGCTAGAGAGAGGCGACATCATCAGACGCAGCAGCAACAGCTTCAGTAACATTTTCCTCTTATATAACTTAAGTATTACATAGCTTTAACTAAAGATTTCGAAATATAAAAGTCTTTTCTAAATTTTTGAGTCGCTATCGCAAAATTTTAAAACTTGCTTTGTTGTCATGACTAGCGAAGCTTACAGAGATTATACGATTTGCTGTCTTAGGGTAGGTCCACGCTAGTGTATTATTAAGATTTGTAAAAATGTCCTAAACATGTGTGCTTAATCAAAATGTAGCTTTGATATTTTTTTTAGTTTCAATAAAACTTGTCCATGATTTAAGTTTCGACGATCTTTGGCAATTCACATGCAAATTATAAATGTGACATATTGTCAACATATATGTTTCGTTGTTAATTGTTCCTATAATAGTTATTTGTTAGAATAATCCCATCCATGCATACAGTCTTCGTTAATGCTGATGAATTATGTACAGCATATAAATACATATTACGTAATTTTAGGCAATATTTTGTGTTAGCTATAAAATAATAATGGGAGTATTTTCTAAGATTTTAAGAATAATATTGTTTATTTAAAATAAAAAGAACAAGTAACATTTTGTTTAAAATATTTCGGTCGTGTAACGGTTAGTTTATATTTATAAAATACTTTTACACCAAATCATAACAGTTACAAATCTTGATATGAATCCGTAAAATATTAATATGAGTACTTAAAAGATTGATATGTTTTTTTTCATATCAAATGGGACATCGAAAAGTCTTCGAAAAAAGAGTATGGCTGTGAATTCTCAATTTGTGAGTACTTATTATCGTATTAAATGCATTTCTTGAGGGATTCGCCGCGGTAGCACTGGCATTTTACGAAAAGCGAGAAACTAAAAAGTGAAAAATTTACTTTATGTTTCTTTAACTGCCATTTGTTTACTTTTTAGAAACTGGATTGCGATCTACGGGCTCTGCACAAGGGTCCAGAAAGTTCAATTTTTGGCCAAAAAAACTGTGATTTCATTCCTAGGTCAGTTAGAAGGATGCATTTTTTATGATATAGATAATCCAAATCAAAGTCGAAAAATTTTTCGTACTTTTCGGTTTGTTATTTAAAAAAAAATAACTAGAAGACGCACTCAATCTATTTTCATCCACGATAAAGCATGAGATAAAACAATATAAAAAAAAAATTAACATCACTATTTAATATTATGTCGCTTAAGATTTATGAATAGTTTAATAGTTTTCGGATCTAAACTACCATGATCGATTAGTGTACGTAAAAAGTAGATTTTAGATGTTATTCACAAATGTTCACTAAAACCTGAAGAAAAAGAAGTACGGCATACTTTTGGGCTCTCTTAGCAAAGCTTATCAAAATGGCTCGACTCCGATTTAAGCCTTCAATTAAAACTTTAATTACCGAAAGCTAATGCAAAACCGCATCGAGTCGGCGGTATACGCTTTTAGTAAATTGATCAACAAATTTTTGTTTGAAGGAATGAACTAATTTGGGGATGGTACTTAAAGGCACTCAAAAAAGCAAAGTACTCATTTGCTAAAAAAAGCCGTAAAAATCAACAAATACATTTATTTTACAAGTTTCGCGAAGAGTCGAACAGCTACATAAGCATCTTTGGCTCAAGTTCTTTTTTAATTTCCATCAATATTTAGTGAATTTCCCACTTTGAAAATACGGTAAAAGAAAACTACTTGCCCGAATTCTTTAAAACTATGGCATAAATTAGTTTAAAGTATTATGAAACGGATTTCAAAATAATATTGGTCATTATCTTAGAAAAAAAATGTATTTTTGGGCAAAAATCGGATCGGATGGTCCAATGTGCAATGGATAAATCCTTGCCTGGCTACAATTAATTAACTTAAATCTATTATTGAAAATTAAAAATAAACATTCTAAGGGCCGTTTTCTCGAGTGCCGGCTTACATTTCTCGAACAGATAAAGTCCCTGCTAAGGCATTTTGGCTTTCTTGAGCATCAATGTGAGAGCTAACTTTGACAGGGACTCGAAGTCCCTGCTAACCGTTTTCGGCTCGATAGCATGACAGCTGAAATTGCATTACCCCAAATGTTTGGAAAAATCACTAAAATATCAGAACATATAACATTTTTGGCGGGGATTTTTCTAGTGGGCATTGGGCCATTCAACACCAAAAACTTCATATAAAAATAAAGTCACAAAGTTTTGGTTGAAGTTTTTGGACAGCATTACTCATGCTCAAGAAATAATTAATTTTATATATTTCTTGAGCTATCCATCAATTCCGATAGCAACCTAGTTAAATCCTTAACTAAAATACTTTCTCAAAGGCAGAAGACTATTTACAATGACGAGAACTGTTACAATGGATTATATTACAGCGTACGGTTGACTTCGCTTGTGAAATACAAGTTAAAAAGTTTAATTTTAGCTTTGTGTATGCTTGAGCCAGTGTAGTATATAATCAGGTGCGTCCCAGAAAACACAAGTTTTTTCGGAGATTTGCTTTCAAAAACAACAAACAACTAAGAAACTCCCTTGCTTTCTTGTTTACTCAATCAAAAGCAACACAAAAACAATTGTCGGGTTCCCTCAAACCTGAATTTGATGCATTTAAATGTCAATTTTTTTCGTCATACATTTGGTTCAGTTTGTGAGTTTGAAAATATCTGCATCTGTATACTGAATACAAAGTTGAAACTCAATATTAATATATGTCACGGTGGAACCCGTCTATTACATCAATTCATTTTTAGATTGCCCTGCCATACCACATCTGACGACGTAGAAATCGAGATGGCAACGCTGCCAGAGCCGCTATTATTGTCTATCGATTTATATATATAAAATGAAATAATACTGGTTAATACGGCAATGAAATTCAATTTAATTTTAATATATAGAGAAATGGAGGACGACGTTGAGGCTGGAAACCATTTAGGTCCGTTTATGTCCATTTCAATCACATAATAGACATAATAGAACAGAAAAAGCACAAGTATATAAAAAAACATGTTTTCTTGAAATTTATTTAAAATTGCATTGGATGGAATTTCTTCAGGTCGTTACTTTTTAAAACGACGTTGCTTGGCAGCGCGCTGTGGTGTAAAAATCAGTTGGCAGCACCAAAACAGTTAGATCAGTGTTGGCAGATGAAAATTTTGCTTTCCCCTAAGAATCCAGTAAAACTCTTAGCCGAAACGCTTACAACTTTGTGAGAACTCGAACTTTTTCCATTTTCTTACGCTCTCTCTCTCTCTCTTACTCCCCAAAAAGTGGAGGACTAGCCGATACACGCTCCTTCAATCAACTATTTTTAGCACGACCGTTCGACGAAAATAATTGGTATGTTAGAATAAGTGAAAAGTATATTTTTGAGAGCCGGACGGTATAACAAATACCAAAACAAAGTTTAATCAAATTAAAAAGTTACGTTATGATTGCACTCAAGTATTTCGATACGTTTTGATTGCATTTCACGTATTTCGTTACGTTTTGATTGAACTTTACAAATTTCGTTACGTTTTGATTGCAAGGGTAGGGAAAAGGATGTATTGAAAAAAACTCTGCCGATCTTTGGATTGAAAAAATCTGTGAACTCGAATTTATTTTATTACACTTTTAGTGTTTTTCAAGCTGTTTACTGAGTTAAGCTTTAGCGCATCTCAGAGAACAAACAATTTAAAAACAATCAAGTTCTTCGTAACACTTTTTTGTTAATGCTGCTCGTCTCTGGAACCAGCTCCCATACTGTTCAAAATCAATAAATAGCGCCCAAAAATACAAGCTAAGCCTAACCACACACCTCATTACAAAATCAACCTAATTATAGCACACACTTTTAATTCAAGTAAAATTAGTTTTAGCTCAAAACAATTTGTAATTTAGAATAATACCATGCCATAACACAACGTGACTAGCACATTAAATTAAGAGTTTTATTACTTGTAGTGCTATAGTGCTAGGATGCAAAATAAAGAAAAAAAAATTTGGATACTAACATTTCCGAAAAAAACCCCAGGAATGAGTGACCAATTTTCTCGGTGAAAAGTTGTTCCCTTCCTGGTGGCTGGTCTGTTCATTTCTGGGTCTTCCACAGATCGCCTGCTCCTGATCCGTGATTATTCAATAAGGAATATTCTATAATTAATTCTAATTTTAACATCGCTCAAACCTAATTTCTATTTATTTTCAAACTCACTTCAATTATGTGACATACAAAAATTTCCACCAGCAGAACCGTCTGCGACCACTGATTTTGCCCTTTAATTATCCTTGCTGTTTTACAATTCCTTCTTCGCCAAAAACCACTCGAAATTTTCGGATTTGAGCCTCGGATCATTTGGGAGTTTTAAGGAACCAGTTCCATAATGGGCTCACTTGCACGACTCACGAGCCGCCGATGACCGGTTATCGAATAATTGCCTATCGTCATCTGGCCTAGTGTAAACAACTTCGTGGAATTTGCAATTTGTTTATTTTATTGTAGTTTTCGCACATAACACGTTTCCCAAAAATCGAGCCTAGTTTTACCAATTTGATAATTTAGTTCTTCGGTCGTCGGCCAGGTGTCGCTATAAATTTAGAATACATCGATGTTTGGCCATTATCATCGATGTTTCCACCTACGTGTTTCCACCTCTACTGATAGCCGGCTTGTAATTTGATTGAATTTGGTGCGCTAAATCAACAATAACAATCTTTTTTGTAAATTTAACTTGCGGTGGATAAGTTTACCTGGGGACGCTTCTACCCGGTGTGCATTTGTTTATGTTTCTCTGCCCTCGCATAAGTATACAAAAGGCGTGTCGAGCACTGCCGGAATGTGTACCTGGCTCTCCAAGTTTTCTAGTGTACACACGTAAATTTATTGGCACTTCTCCTGGGTGTTACTAATGGTTTTAGTTGTAAGGCATGCTTGTGCCACAGGATTCTGTTGTGCTAGCACGGTTGAACAGTAAACAAAAATACGGCATTCCATTTAAGATCGGCGCATAACTTACTATATGCATGTGTTCATAAATATATGTACGGTGTTGTGGTCGTGGGCCTCAGAGAGGGTAGAAGCAGAAAAGAAGTTACAAGGGGTGAGTGACACAAAAGTTGTAAGTTAGGGGTTGGTTATGAGCGCGGTATTCGGTATGTTCTGAGCGCTGGCATCGCGATTAACAGGACTCGGCGAGAGAGGAATACTTTAATTTGCTTATCAGAAACTCAGAAACTATTGCGTTAGAAAAGGTGTGTTAGGCGTAAATGTTATTAGGTGCCCAGAGACGCGACTATATACCAGGTGTAAATTCTTAAGTACGCTGAACAGGCTTGCCGTACAAACATGTGTAGATATCACTCCCATAAACATGCGTATGTATACCAAATGCACTTTCGGTCTCTTCTATATATTGCAGAAAATTTACAAAAGGAGGTACCAGTACCCGTGGTAGCAACATTTATAAATTGACTTTGGCCCGGAAAATGAGGACTAACGGAGGAGTCTTGTAGTTAAAAGTGAATAATGCACTGACATGTCTGCAGCACACATAAGCACTGAGTTCAGTGGGTTCAACAGAGTGAGTTCAAGTTCTGCGTCCAGTTCCATATCATCCTTCAACTTCTCATCGGCTTCCGTGTCACCGAGCTCCTCCTCATTGCGTGAAAGTGGTGCTGCACCGGTATTAATTTCGCTCCAAAAAAGGGCCAAGTGCGCTGTAGTGATGTCAGCCCAGGTCACACCGAAGATCCTGGCTAGCATTAATTCAAAGGAGTCGATTCACAAGTCAAACGCCGTACACCACCTCGATATGGCTGATCAAGGCAAGGTCAACGCCTCATCTCTGCCACTGTCGGATGATCCGCGAACACTGCAACTGGCGTTGGAACTATCGCTGGTCGGATTCAACGACAATCAAACTTGTTATGCGCCACCTGCTCAGCCTCTATCATTGCCCCTGACTGCACAAAGTGACTTCGAGATGGGTACCATCAACGGCATACCCCCGTTCTCCAAAACAGACACCACCCTGCCACTCACACCTGCACCAAGTTCCCTTCTGTTACCCACTGCCGGCACCGTCAGCTTAGAGGACCGATCAAAGAAGTCCCAGAACATGACCGAGTGTGTTCCAGTCCCCAGTTCTGAACATGTGGCCGAAATAGTGGGCAGACAGGGTGAGTATTATCGATAATAGGACGGATCTTAATACATGTTTTTTATATAGAGCACTGGAAACAAAAGTAGAAAAGTATAATAATTTTAGTCAGAAATTTGCATCGCAGTGAAGGAGGTATTACATATCTTATTATAGCTACTTCAACTGCCATATTTTCTGGCAGCGTCTCGATTGAGAAAATTTTAGAAAGTCGTCACAAATGATGAAAGCAGAACCTTTGTATATTGAAGGTGCGATCGTCACTAGTTTTTTTTACCTCGTTAAGAGGTGTTTTTGTTTGATATCAGAAGTTTTATATTTAGACCGCAGCTGTACGTGTACGGCTATTCTTTCCTTTCTTTCAACTTTAAGCCAGTATGGAAGCTAGCTTCGGCCAGCCGAAGCTTATATACCCTAGCAGATCTTTCCTATTAAATTGCAAATTACAAACTTTTAACTTTCTTATTTTTTTGCCACTAGTTGTTCTATTCTTCCTATAGCAGCTATCACATATCCCAGAATCGAAGAGAATACAATAAAAACCAACCAGTAGTTCTCCGTTTTTGATCAAATTAGATTCGAAATTCTGAATTAATAACAAAATGGTATTCACACGCATAGGAGGTTATATTTTAAAAACCACCTAAGATATAATTTTAATAAAAATTTGTGATCATTCCTATGGGAGCTATATGATATAGTTGCCTGAACCGGCTGGCTCGTTTCTGAGACATTGTGGGCGCTAGAGAGGGCGTGGCGCTCGGCTGAAATAAACTTGCGCTGCGTAGGAAGCCCAAGAATATGTGTGGGTATTCCCTACTTTCTAGCTTTTGTAGCGTGAGATCTCAGCGTTTATACGGACAGGCAGACGGACATACAACATATGTACATACAATATCGACTCGGCTTATGACTCTGATCAAGAATATATAGGGAAGAGGTCTGTAGGCTGGGACGGTCTGTAAGTTGAGACAGTCAATTTTCTCAAAATTTTTCCATTAAACAAAATTTTTTTTTTTTGTAATTCTTTTTAGTGACAAAACTTTTGGGGAAAACATTATAAGCCAGGCTCTAGCGAGATTTAAGCTGTGAGAGTCGTGTTCCATTTTTCACCAAAAAAGGTTTTTGCCAACTTTTTTCAAAATTCTTTTAAAAACTAATAACTTTAATTTAACTTAAGTTAACTTGGTAAGAGATTTAAAACTTTAGTATTTTAACTGTTAACAAATTAAAAAAAGAATCAGCTTAATTTGTCAGTCTGAAAAAAAGTTATTAATTTTTTTCCGATACGACCTATTTTGTGCAGGTTGGGACACTTTGAGCGTGTTAGTTGAGACACCCGTTTTGCATACAAAAAGGCCTTAGCCCGACAGAGGTCGCTTTCTGCCTAATACTATTCTTTAATATTAGGGGTAGGGGAGTGTAGGGTAAGGTGGCGAACGATTCGATTTTTTAATGTAATTTTTACAAAAATCAATATTTTTCAAAAGTGTAAAAGCAAAAAGTTGCTTACATCCACTGAGCATATTTCTGTGAAAGTACGATTAGAAATTCCAACGCAGCTAAATCCTACAGCGTTTGGCGTGAACCATTCTTTTTTTGCATTTTTAAAAATTGTAGGGTAATGTGACGAACGACTTGTCTTTTAATGTAACTTTACTAAAAATTAATATTTTTTAAAAATGTAAAAGCAGAAAGTTGCTTACATCTACTGAGCATATTTTTGTAAAAGTACGATTCCAAAATCCATCGGAGTTAGATCCCACAGCTTTTGGCGTGAGCCATCCTATTCAACTGACGGCACGACTAAAATCAATACAAAACTACAATAAAACTGCAGCACTTAATGTTTTCAGGTAATATTAGAGTTTTTTACACAAAATTAAAATTTGTGAATAAATAATATTTGTCGCCATACAATATAAAAGGTTCGTCACGATACCCTACAAGGTACACTTGGAGGAAAAACGGTGTCACTCTCAAACGGCGCAAACAAAAAAAAACCCCAAGTACCAAAAACTGTTAATTAAGATCTCATTTGTACGAGCATATATTTATCTGATTTTATTATTTACTCATCTTTGCTTTGGCACTGCTGAAACACAAATAAATTGAATAGGTTTGCTAGTTTGTGCACCACCTTACCACATTACCACACAAACAAATTAAGGGACTTCTTAATAATATTACTGTAACAACATTGTCGACACGATGAGAGGAGACGACTACATTTATTTGGAATTTTTAACGTGACGTCATATGTGAGATTCGACGAGTTCGTCACATTACCCTACTCGTCAAATTACCCTACACTCCCCTACCTAATGTTTGAAGTTTCATAAGTGAATGTCGAAATGACAGATTGAAAACAAAAGGTGTACCAACCTACAGACCTCTCCCCTACACTTTACACGCTTCCTTCTAGCTCTTACATACTTTTGCACGAATACAATATAGCCTTTTACTCTACGAGTAACGGGTATAAAAACAATCCGTCTGATGCTTAAATCACTTTTTACAAAATTTGATTGGAATTATTAGTTAGAGTATTCAATTGCGTTGCAAACGTTTGAAAAGTGTAAAAGTGTAAGCAGTTCCAACAACAATTTTCATACAAAATAGTTTGCTAGGCCTACAACACCCCAGCCTATGTATAAAAATCTGTTGTAGTTGTGTAGAAATAATGGTTTAAAATAGAGGTTTTCAATACTAAAAAGAGTACTAAGAAGTCGGGTTTAAGTCTATAATAAATTAATTTTGTTGCTTTACTTTTGGCGACCAATGTTTTTTTTCTTGGTAAATGGTATTGTTAAACGATGCAGATGCATCTATGTGCCATTATTTTCGGTATTTGTGATATTTAACTGATTGGCCAAACAATCAACTGAAGAACTCGCGACCTTACCAAATTTTTAGTGATACCAAATAAGAATGATTATAATACCAGTAATCAACTTTAATGTCCGTCCTTAGCCATTTAACGCCTAAGAAGTCGCGGACCTCTCATATAAACTAAAATGGGGGACATTTTCTTGTACATATGTCAGTTTTATTTAAGGCAAAGCCTGCCTTCCATTTCAATATCTTGCAACGATTTTTGAAAAATGTCGTTCACAATTTTCGTCTGGCATACTTTCAAATTTTACACTTTTGCAACGCAATTGAATACCCTAATTATTCGGCCTGTTCCCGTTTTCACTCGGAAGTGAATTTGTTAGCATTATCGGATTTCCCGCTAACAGTACTAAATTTCCCTTATTTGTTAGGGACATTTTATAATATTTCCCTTTGGTCCCTTTGCAGTTTTGAAAGGCTCCCGACAGAATGGTATTAAAAATCAGTGTGGGAATCATAGTATTGCAAACTGCAAGAGCATACAGAGATGCCAAAGTCAAACAAGAAAAGAAGCTACCTTCGGCCAGCCGAAGCTTATATACCCTTGCAGATCATTCCTATTAATTAACAAATCGCAAAAATGTTCAATTTTCTAATATTTCTCATTAATTTTCCGATCGTTCCTTTGGCAGCTATATGATATAGTCGTCCGATTTTGATCAAATTAAAATTGAAATTCGAAAATATTTAAAAAGAATCATATCCTAGAGTAGAAGATAATACAATAAAAACTAAAGAAGCTAGAATTTATTTCCTATTACTTTTCCATTAATTTTCCGATCGTTCCTATGGCAGCTATATGATATAGTAGTCAGATTTTTTAAATAATTAATTCGAAATTCAGAAATATTTAAAAAATAACATCCCCAAAAGTAGAAGGTAATATTTCAAAAAACACCGAAGCTAGAATTTTTTAAAGTTTTTTTTTTCCGATTGTTCCTATGGGAGCTATAAGATATAGTTGTCCGATCCGGTCGGCTCCGACATATGTACTTCCTGCTATAGAAAGAAGTCTTTTGCGAAAGTTTTGTCCCGATAGCTCAAAAACTGAGAGACTAGTTTGCGTAGAAACAGACAGACGGACAGACGGACGGACGGACGGACAGACGGACAGACGGACATGGCTAGATCGACTCGTCTTGTGACCGATTTTTGTTGGAAAAGATTTTTTTGACACCCAGGAATGTTCTTAAAAAATATATAATAATCGTAAATACAATTTTTTCGCTTTTAGGTTGCAAAATCAAAGCGTTGAGAGCCAAGACCAACACTTATATTAAAACACCAGTTCGAGGAGAGGAACCGGTGTTCGTTGTGACTGGTCGAAAGGAAGATGTAAACAAGGCCAAACGAGAAATACTTTCCGCTGCTGACCACTTTAGCCTAATACGGGCATCACGTAAGCCTATAAGTGACGGTCACAGCAGCGGAATTGTAGGAAATGCGAGTGGATCTGGTGGTGGTGCAGTGCCACGCATGCAATCAGGTCCCCCATGTATGCCTGGACAAGTCACCATACAGGTACGTGTACCTTACCGGGTAGTTGGTCTAGTTGTTGGGCCCAAAGGTGCTACAATTAAACACATTCAACAAGAGACTCAAACTTATATTGTGACACCGTCGCGCGAAAAAGAACCAATTTTTGAAGTTACTGGCTTGCCTGACAATGTAGACACTGCACGAAAGCAGATTGAAGCGCATATTGCCCTTCGAACTGGGACAGGATCTGGTAATGGAGATGCTAATACTATGCATTGTGGTGAATCGGTTGAGACGAATGAGTTCGCGAACCTGCCGACAATAAATTCATTAACACAAATACTAAATGATGATTTAAATTCAGAAATTTTGTCGTCTATATACAAAAATTCAATTCCATCTGCACAGGACTATGCAAGTACTACAATGAAGATTCTTGGGAACGGTAGCAATTCCGTGAAGCCCATGCATGGCCATCATAGTGGCAATTGCTTTCAAAAAACTGAGTTTTCTGATATGGAAATAGCAGCAACTATAACGCCAACAGGAATATCAGACAAACATCTTCCCGGAAATGAAGTTACCATGCCCATAGCCAAGGCTAATGTTGTATTCCGTAATACGCCTAGTAAAACATTATCCTTCTGTCCTCCCACATCTACATCAGCATCGATTCATTCGAACTCTAATGCAAATATATTAACGCGATCTTGTTCATCTGCTTCTTCAACAACTTCAACAAAGAGCACCAACAATAGCGCCAACACACCTCCAGAAATATTGAATATATGGAAAAATATAAGTGATTCAATTGACGTCGACGAGGGTATAGGGGATTCGCCCAGTATTTGGAACCAACAGGCAAATATTATACCCACAGCACACTGCTCACCGACAATCTCAATCAGTCCTACGGACTCGCTTTTGGGCTTGGGTGAGCATTCTGCAAGTCAAAAAAATATGCACCATACTAAAGATCCGACTATATGTAACAATCAGCAAAAGACTCAAGCCATTCAATTACAACCTAATCCTGAAAAATTTATGATTCACCGCGAATGTTTTGTTTGTAATGAAAATGATGTAACCACTGCTTTGGTTCCATGTGGACACAATATGTTTTGCATGGAATGCGCAAATCAAATCTGCATTTCTATGGAAGCAGTTTGTCCGGTTTGCAATTCGATTGTTTACCACGCAATGCGCATTTTAGGATAATTTGTATTATATTAATTTTTTAACTTAGTTGTTTTTAACTTTAGATTTGTTAGTTTTATAATTAATTATTCAGTAATCGTGGCTTCCGTGAAGTTTATATTGTTTGGAATTTTAAAATTGCGATTTAAAAAATTTTTTTTTAATGCATACCATTCTTTAAAAAAGATTTTAAAATGGCGTCTATCAGATCATTTATGCTGGTGCGTCGTACAGTTTTGGAACTTTAAAATGTAAAAAACAATTTCCGTTACCTTTTTTTAAAAGTAAACAAATGATTTCTTTTAAGTTTCCTTAAATTAAAATTTTTGTTTTTTGATGTTTTTTTTTTTGATTATTGGTTTCGATTAAAAATGTAACCACCTATGATCTCAAATATGTGTTTTTTTTTTAGCCAGGAATAAACAAGATTCGAACTAAAATATGTTTGAAATATTTTTGAAACGACCCTATGTCATTTCTAATTGTATTTGGCTCTTTAGATCCGAGTAACTACTACACTTTTATAAAATAGTTTAATCTGGAATCTAAGAATATTATTTATGTTATTTTAAAATACAAAACATTTATCGAAAGCATAAGAAAGTAGTTAAACTGTTGTTCACATTTTTTCCCCTCATATTTTGTTGAAGTTTTTGTCTCAATCTTTTTTTTTGCCCATTATTTATTTATATCGGTTTCTATGCCAAACTATTATGTTTTAATACCTCCCTGCAGAAAAAATGCGAACTAGAATAATACAAAAGTAATTGTTCAACATGTTAACAAAAACCAGAGGAAACGCTTTAGTCGAGTCCTTCGACTATCAGATACCCGTTACTCAGTTATAGGAAGTGCGAAAGAGATGGACATATGAAAGCAGCAAAGCGACAACTTGCCCTCCTTAAATTCCTTTATTTGCTCATAACTTTTTAATGAATGGTCCGATTTAAAAAAATTCTTCTACATTTGGATAAACGCAATACAATTGAATTTATACATTTCCGAAATCTTAATGATGTGGGCGCCATACCAATTAGAGTCTTGCATGAGTGTACTTGAATCAACAAACAAGTCAATTTTTAATTTCAGTTAACTTGGATCGCTTTTTTCATTTGATTTTTTTTATAAGGCAAAACAAGTGATTTAATATAAAAGGAATAGATATAAAATAATTTAGAATCACCGAAATAATTTGCTTAGTAATTTTATCACTCCCCCTCACTTTTATTCTGTGCTTGTAACACTTGTTTTTCCTTACAAGTGATTAAATAAAACAAGTGATCCAAGTTAACACACTTGAACTCACTCTATTTTCAAAAAATTGACTTCTTTGTCAATTCAAGTGTACTTACGCAGGACTCTAATACACATCTATTTTCAAAAAATTGACTTCTTTGTCAATTCAAGTGTACTTACGCAGGACTCTAATACACATTTAACACATTGTGGGCTTGGAGCTCGGCTGAAATACACTTTCGTTGCGCAGAGAGCCAGTTGGCTTCCCAACTTTCTAGCTTTTATAGTTTCCGAGATCTTAGCGTTCATACAGACAGACAGACGGACATGGCTAGATCGACTCGGATAGTGGTCCTGATCAATATAATATATACTTTATAGGGTCGGAAACGCTTTCTTCTACCTGTTACATACTTTCCTTTTACTCTCAAGAAACGGGTATAACAAGTTCCAATTTAGTTAAAAACTTAAATATAACTAGTTGCAAATATATCACCAAACAAATCTAACGATTTCAAACTTTTTATAAATTATGGTCCAAAACTGTTCGTTTTTCCTGCAGGTTTGAAGCACACACTCGAAATTAGACTACTACGTATTTATTCAGTCAGGATTGCATTGAAAGGATTGTTTGATTTAATATATCTAACAAGAAATTACACCAGTTTACAAAAAAAAATCTATGAAATATACCATGAATGAAACCTTTGTTTTCCGGTAAGGTACGTCTTCCTGATTCAGAAAGTGGCACTTAAAATTTTTTTTATGGATACATTTTTTTTTAAAGTGTAAAAAACGTTTTTGACCCTTTTTCAATTTCTAACTTGAGTTGTGGCTAACCGATTTCAACCATAAATAACTAATTTTACAGGTAATAGAATGCTCTCCAACTTTCTTATACACTGCATTGAGTTCCATTCATTAGTTTAGAAGCTACACTTCGTCAAAGTTGTAAAAGTGAGAAAAAATGCAAAAATGCTGGCATAAATGGCATCGTTAAAAATACACGCCTAAAAACCGAAATTAGTTTTATGACTTATACTTAAAGATACATCTTTCAGTCAACTAACAAGACCATCAACAAAAAAATCAATCAATAGTTCGATTTTATATCGATTTTTTACGTTGGGAAAAACGGGTATTACAGCTCTGTTACAGCCCTGTTGTGTCAGTTAACAGCTGTAAACGGCCAAAAAAACACCGTTGTCGCAAGCTTCAAAAATGCCTATCAAAATAATTTGCTGGTGGATTGTAATAATCAATAGCTTTTTTTTTTTGTCAAAGCACCTTCTACCAGTAGAAGTTATAAAAATAATTTTGGTTTTTAGGCGTGTATTTTTAACGAAGCAATTTATGCCAGCATTTTTGCATTTTTTCTAACTTTTTCAACTTTGACGAAATATAGCTTCTAAACTAATGAATGGAACTCAATGCAATGTATAAGAAAGTTGGAGGGCATTCTATTACCTGTAAAATGAGTCACTTATGGTTGAAATCGGTTAACCACAACTCAAGTTAGAAATTAAAAAAGTGTCAAAAACTTTTTTACACTTAAAAAAAAAATTTATCCATAAAAAAAATTTTAAGTGTCATTTTCTTAATCAGGAAGACGTAGCTTACCGGAAAACAAAGGTTTCATTCATGGTATATTTCATCGATTTTTTTTTGTAAACTGGTGTTATCTTTATTTATTTTACAGTCTTTTAGAAAGTTTTCTTTTTACGAACTTAATCAAACTACAAAATATTTAAAAACTTCATTGCCTGCTTCAGTTTTAACTTTGTAAAAAAATATTAACAAACCCAAACTTAAGTGTCAATGCCGTTAGAGAATATAGGGAATTTATTTTATTTTACCAATTCGAATAAATTTTTAAAAGAACGTTTTGACTTGACTTCTCCTTTATAAAAGATGTTTTAAACACATTCTTCTTGTGTTTACGATAGTTTTCCAATTAGCTTAAGTCACATACTTGTTTTTTGACTGATTGGAGATTTTATAAAAAGTCATGGGAAATAGCCATGATTAATAAATCAATTCATTAAAAACTGTTAAGCTGCATACCCATTTTCTCTTGGTGGCCATAACAGTCAGCCTAAAATCAAGCGACATAAGGCCTTTAGTATTTATACAATTGACTCATAAAGGAAGGCTACACAATTTATAGAATGATTAGACGGTTTTTATATTCGATGAGACCATCACTATAACATTCCTGCATATTTTCAAATTTCTTTATGAGATAAACCTTAAATTAACCGAGTTTTTCCACCTATTCAATTTGGGTTAGAAGTTGAAATATTTCTTTTTATATAATTAATTTAGCTTTTAAATGAGTACCAATTGCCTTAGACAAATTGATAAATTATTTTGGTTAGCCTAAGTATTGGCTTTGTCCAAAGTTTTAAGCACGTCCCTTGAGTTTGGCCTAAATTGGATAACAATAGGCTACAGTTGGCATATACATTCATTTACTATTTATATTCATCTCTATTTTGGAAATGAAAGCGATTTTTAATACTTCAGTTTATTGTGGTCGTATTTATGGTCACATGGCGCATGCTGACGACTTTCTTATTTCGTTGTGTATAATGGACCTGTTTTTAAATTTTTTTTCTTAAATTCATATATCCCAATTTAAATAAAATGACTTTGATTGTCATATTCTAGTGAAATTTTCAAACGGCATACTACGTATGTAGATCCCAATTGAAAACTAGCTAAAGAAATTTTTGCATAATTAAAGACATTTACAACAAACGTAATTAAAATATATTGGATCTTAAAAGTACATGTTATAAAACAAATTCTCTGAAAAATAAAAATTGACTGATAAATTAGCATTAATTTTAAGATCGGCACATAACATATATTATATCAATAGATAAAGTCAGATACAAATAGTTATATATATTTAAAAGTACGATGTATGCCCCACATGTGACAACTACCTTAATAAAGCTTACGATTAATGTGAATAAAAAGACTTATACATTTATAGTCAATCATATTTAATATTTATAACTCAATGTAAATTGCGCGTAATGTTAGAGAAGCCAAAACAGTTCTGTTTGAAATTGGATGTTTTATATTACAAATTATTTTATACCTATGTTATTAAAATTGTGTCCCAAGATTATATTAATATTAATCAATCTAGTCCGAATAATTGTAATAGAGGCTGGCTTATATATTTTTAAATGTATATAATTTTAACATAAAATCTGTAAGGTCAAAAATTCAAACGAGTGAGACTAAATAAAGTTTATTGAGCGCGCAAAATGAACATTTTACATTATTTTATAAACTATAACTAGAACAATTTAATTTCATACAAAAATTACAAAAAAATTGAGCATTTATATATACTATATACCAAATAGAAATATGATATATTCATATATATATATAAATATATATAGTACATGTGTTTATATACACTATGTATAAATATATTTATATATATTATGTAGCCCTAACAAATATTCTTCGTAAGGTAGCATTCTATTGTAAGGAATTCAATGCGTTCTCATATATACGAAGAATCAGTATTTCAAAATAAAATATCTAAGATATATTAGTGGGTAATAATGAACACAGTCTTTGTTTAAATAGAAATATTAAAGATCTAGGGTGCTTGTTTAAACTTATAATAAACTGGAACCGTAAATAATGTTTGATGATAAAGTATACATATATACTATTTTCAATAGATAATCATTACCGTCGAGGAAATAAAGAAACAAAACAACAATGATTTAAACTAAATTTCAAGTGAGAAATTATAATTAGTGTAACATTCGAGTTTTAAAAGTATAACTTAGAATGATTACGGTATCCGCTTGCAATTGCTGAAGTTAGAAGTGTTTATTAGCCCAACATCAATTCAAATTCGAAGTAAATATTTTACAAAGCTTCATGACCTAAAAAGGATAAACTGACATTTTTTGTTGGAGCGACTAACATAATTTGCGTACTATTGAAAATTAAATATTTGTATTGTTACCAATTTACTAAAGGATACAGCTGCAATTAATAAATTTTTTCAAATGCTATTTTCGCTTCCAGCAATGATATAAAATTTAATCTATCCTAGGTTGTATTTTAACGCCACAAATAATTTTCAAAGAAGATTACGTTTAATTATCAAAAAAAAGTTTGATTTAGTTTTCGGGGAATTTAAAAATGTATGCAATAGATGCATTCATAAAAAAGTATAAAAAATTCATTAGGATACCTTAAATCTGCCGTAAATGTTTTATTTTTAGTTATATACGAAATACACATACATTTATTATAGGCTCAAATAATATTTTAATTAGACTCCTTTATAAATTATTTTTAAGAAATATGTACATACGTACACACGAAACGGGGGACAAATATTTTTTTACACAGTTTGTAAGGTTTTACATTTAACTTATTATAATTGGCAGCAAATGTATTTACAACGAATATTTTACAAATGCGAACGACAGAGTACTTTTATAAAGAAATAAATAACAAATAATTATCGCAGAATTAATAAAAAATTCTGTGAATACATAAATAAATGTATGTCTATAAAATATATATTTATTTATCAAATTAAAAAAAATATATAAAAATATAGATTTAAAGTAAGCTCCTCAATACCATAAATAATATGAACAATATTAAAATATCCGTATTGTGTTCGACAGAAAATATAATATCTTAAAAGTACATTTCATATATCGACTTTAATCGGCATACTCTTTTTACTGATTAGTATTCACATTTAAAAGCCGACTTTTTAAGCCGAGGCCCCTAAAATTTATATGAGAAATATTTATGCAAATATAAGTATATATATAGTAATGTATCACTAAATGGTTATATAATAAATTTTTCGGAGATAAATAAATTTTCTTGTTAATAAGTAGGGCACAGGATCGATGGGGCCCAACATTTTCTTATATTTTCTTTGCCTATTTTAAGTATATGGATCAATTTATGTTTATTTTAAGTCCCGTCAAATCCAAATTGTTGTAAGGCCACGTTACGGGCCCAGCACCAAAAGATGAGTCAATCTAAATATGAATGTTCGTCATTTCTTTTGTTGACTTACAAATTGCACTTGTGTTTATACCCTTGCAGAGGGTATTATGATTTCAGTCAGAAGTTTGCAACGCAGTGAAGGAGACGTTTCCGACCCCATAAAGTATATATATTCTTGATCAGCATCACTAGTCGAGTCGATCTAGCCATGTCCGTCTGTCCGTCTGTCCGTCTGTCCGTCTGTCCGTCTGACCGTCTGTCCGTCTGTCCGTCTGTCTGTTTCTACGCAAACTAGTCTCTCAGTTTTTGAGCTATCG